ACTCATTTTTTGCCAAGATATTGTCCCTGCTCTGATATGTCACTGGGCCTGGAAGATGTTCCCAAACACTACAGTTTATCCCAGGGCATTAATAGTAAAAGCATTACTTGGAGTCATTCTTCAGATAACTCTTCATCAACAGAGATTTATCCTGTTTTGAGTTCTTTCTTATCTGCAACAAGAAGTTAGGCCCATTTTTTTCTGAAAATTGAGAATACAAAACATACAGCAGCTCAGCTGACCTGCACAGTTGATGTACAACTGCAGTGTGTTCATTTACACCAGTACAACTACACTAAAATTTGTAAACCACAACATGGCCTCTTGTGGGGATGAGGAAAGCATAGGACTTTTAATTCTGCAATTCCTGGGAGAAAAATCTGCAGAGAGTGTGAGTTTGTTAACAGAGATTTACACTAGGATGTTAGGGAAAGTAAAATTAAGTATCAAATATAATAATAGAAAACAGATACAAATATAAGCAGAAAAGAGAGAAGGTTAAGGAAAACCAGAGGAGAGGCACCTTAAAAGAGATTTTGTTCATTTTCTATCTAAACAAATATTAATCAAATTATCCGAACCACATAAAAACATTGCAATTGCAGAACAGCCAAAGTGCTCTTTGATTACAATAGGAAAGTTTGGTGCATAACAAATGAAGAACAAGCACCAGAGCTAAAACAAGAAGAAAGGATGAAAAGATCAGTTGAGATCACAACACCCTGTTATATTTTTCATGTTAGGTATCTGGTCGCTGGTCTTGGCAACAGGGTTTTGGTTTCTATGACCATGGGACTCTAAAGACCACCAGCTAGTGGGGAACGATGAGAACCACCTCAGCAAGAGGGGCACACGTGTCTTTGCCAAAAGGTTGGCCAGCCTGGTTAGGAGGGCTTTAAACTAAGCATGAAGGGGGACGGGGAGTGTTACATGGACAGGGCAATCAGTGGCATGCAGCCAAAGCCAGAAGGGGTCCAACAGGAGTATGGTAGTGGGGAAGTGAGTATAGGAGATGATTATAGAGGGTCGTCTTTCACCCCTCCCGGGAAACCTGCAGACTCGATTACTTCCCTGAAATGCCTGTACACCAATGCACGTAGCATAGGGAATAAACAGGAGGAACTGGAGATCTGTGTGCGGTCCCAGCATCATGATCTCATTGGAATCACAGAGACATGGTGGGACAGCTCACACGACTGGAGTGCTGTCATGGAAGACTATGGGCTTTTTAGGAAGGACAGACCGCGAAGATTAGGTGGTGGAGTTACTCTTCAGAGAGCAACTGGAATGCACGGAGCTCAACCTGAGGGTGAATGATGAGCAAGTTGAGAGCTTGTGGGTAAGGATTAGAGGGCAGGCTAATGTGGGAGACACTGTGGTAGGCATTTGCTACAGGCCACCTGATCAGGACGAGGAAGTTGATGAGGCCTTCTACAGACAGCTGGAAGTAGCCTCACAGTCTCAGGCCCTGGTTCTCATAGGAGACTTCAACCACTCTGACATCAACTGGAAAGACAACACAACCAGGCAAACAGTCCTGTAGGTTTCTGCAGAGCATTGATGATAACTTTTTGACGCAGGTTGTGGAGGAGCCAACGAGGAGAGGTGGGCTCCTGGACCTCGTACTAACAAATAGAGAGAGACTTGTTGGAGCTGTGAAGGTGAGGGGTAGCCTCGGCTGCAGTGACCATGAGCTAGTTGAGGTCAGGATCCAGCAAGGAGGAGGCAGGGCTGTAAGTAGCCTTGCAACCATGGACTTCAGGAGGGCCAGCTTTAGCCTCTTCAGAGACCTCCTTGGAAGAATCCCATTGGCTAGGGCTCTAGAAGGAAGAGGGGCCCAAGAGAGCTGGTCAGTATTCAAGCAGCACTTCCTCCACGCTCAGGAGCAGTGCATCCCTATGAGTAAGAAGTCAGGCAGAGGGGGCAGGAGGCCTGCGTGGATGAGCAAGGAGCTGCTGGCAAAACTCAAACAGAAAAAGGCATTATAGAGAAAGTGGAAAAAAGGACAGGCTCCTTGGGAGGAATACAGGAATGTTGTCAGGGAATGCAGGGATGTGACGAGGAAAGCCAAGGCACAATTGGAATTAAATCTGGCAAGAGATGTTAAAAATAATAAGAAGAGGTTTTTCAAATACATCAACGGTAATTGGAAGGCAAAGGAAGATTAGGCAAAATGTGGGTCCGCTGGTGAACAGCATAGGTGTCCTGGTTACGAAAGACACAGAAAAAGCAGAGCTACTGAATGCCTTCTTTGTTTCAGTGTTTACCAAGGACAGCCCTCTGGAATCCCAGAACCTAGAAACCAGAGAAGGTGCCTGGGAAGAAGACTTGCCCTGGGTAGAGGAAGATTGGGTCAGAGAGCACCTAGGGAAACTTGACATCCACAAATCCATGGGCCCTGATGGGATGCACCCCAGAGTGCTGTGGGAGCTGGCAGATGTTATTGCTAAGCCACTCTCCATCATCTTTGAAAGGTCCTGGAGAACGGGGGAGGTGCCGGAAGACTGGAAGAAAGTCAATCTCATGCCACTCTTCAAAAAAGGCAAGAAGGAGGACCCAGGCAACTACAGGCCAGTGAGCCTCACCTCCGTCCCTGGAAAAGTGATGGAACAGCTCATACTTGCCGTTGTCTCCAGGCACGTGGAGGATAAGAAGGTGCTCGAGAGTAGTCAGCATGGATTCACCAAGGGGAAATCATGCTTGACTAACCTGATAGCCTTCTATGATGGAATGACCGGATGGGTAGATGAGGGGTAAGCGGTGGATGTCATATATCTGGATTTCAGCAAGGCTTTTGACACAGTCCCTCACAGCATCCTCCTGGGCAAGCTGCAGAAGTGTGGATTAGACGAGTGGATGCTGAGGTGGGTTAATAACTGGCTGGATGGCAGAGGCCGGAGGGTAGTGATCAGCAGTGCACAGTCTAGTTGGAGGCCTGTAGTTAGCGGTGTCCCCCAGGGGTCAGTCCTCGGTCCAGTCCTGTTCAATTTATTCATCAATGACCTGGATGAAGGCACAGAGGCTCCCTCAGCTGGACAACTGGGCGGTGAAAAACCTCATGCAATTCAACAAGGCCAAGTGAAAGGTCCTGCACCTGGGGAGGATTAACCCAGACACCAGTAAAGGCTGGGGACTGACCTTCTGGAGGGCAGTTCTGCAGAGAAGGACCTGGGTGTCATGGTGGATGACAAGTTGACCATGAGGCAGCAGTGTGCACTCGTCGCCAGGAAGGCCAATGGGATCCTGGGGTGCATTAAGAAGAGCATCTCCAGCAGGTCGAGGGAGGTGATCCTGCCCCTCTACTCAGCCCTGGTGAGGCCACATCTGGAGTATTGTGTCCAGTTCTGGGCTCCACAGTACAAGAGGGATGTGGAACTGCTGGAGAGAGTCCAGCGCAGGGCTACAAGGATGATCAGGGGCCTAGAACATCTGCCCTATGAGAAAAGACTGAGAGAGCTGGACCTGTTCAGCCTGGAGAAGAGAAGGCTGAGAGGGGACCTGATCAGTGTATATAAATACCTTAAAGGAGGGAGTGAGGAGGATGGGGCCAGCCTCTTTTCCGTGGTGGCCAGCAATAGGACAAGAGGAAACGGCCACAAACTGAAGCACCCAAAGTTCCACAGGAACTTAAGAAAAAAATTCTTAACTGTGAGGGTGACAGAGCACTGGAACAGGTTGCCAAGAGAGGTTGTGGAGTCTCCTTCTCTGGAGATCTTCAAAACCCGCTTGGATGCAATCCTGTGCCACATGCTCTAGGTGACCCTGCGTGTGCAAGGGGGTTGGACTAGATGATCTCTAGAGGTCCTTTCCAACCTTAACAATTCTATGATTCTATGATTCTATGATCCTATTTTCCTTTGTTAGGTAGATAGTTGGGGATAAATCTTCAAATTAAAGTAACAGGTAAAAGAGAGCTAGGGGATTCCAGGAGGGAAGAAGAATTACTATGGTCGAGGAGTATTGGGTTAGAGATTATTTAGGCAAACTGGACGCCCATTAATCTACGGGCCCCAATGGGATGCACCCTAGAGTGCTGAGGGAACAGGCGGGAGTTATTGCTCAGCCGCTCTCCATCATCTTCAGGAGGTCAAGGAGAGCAGGGGAGGTGCCGAGGGACTGAAAGAAACCAACGTCACTCCAGTCTTCCAAAAGGGCGAGAGGGAGGACCTGAGAAACTACAGGCTGGTCAGCCTCACCTCTGTCCCTGGAAAGGTGATGGAGCAGCTCATCCTAGAGACCATGTCTAGGCATGTGAAGGAAAAGAAGGTGATCAGGAGTAGTCAGCATGGATTCACCAAGGGGAAGTCGTGTTTGACCAACGTGATAGCCTTCTATGATTGGATGACTGTCTGGACGGATGAGGGGAAAGCTGTGTATGTTGTCTACCTTGACTTCAGCAAGGCTTTTGACACCGTCTCCCATAATCTTCTCATAGGGAAGCTGAGGAAGTGTGGGTTAGATGAGTAGACAGTGAGGTGGATTGAGAACTGACTGGATGGCAGAGCTCAGAGGGTTGTGATAAATGTGCTTAAAAAAAAAAAAAACACCACACACATTCGTATGCAGTCTACTAAATGCCAAGAACTAACGTTGATGCCACTGCAGTACCTGAACGAATGGCAGTTGCAACCACAAAAGATCACAGGATGCAAATAGGCTGCAGCTGCAACTCTGTCTCATCTATATTCTTACCTGCTTACCATTTTTAAGGTAATTTAAGGTAAGTAATTTTACATTCCAAATATACCTACCGAAGAAATCATTGAAAAGCTTAAAAGAAAAAGGCTCCCATTTACCTCAAAAAAGGCCTATCATTTATGAAACAATACCACCAAGTAAACACAATGAAAATTAGCCCATCTTATTTAAGATACTTTATATTTTTTATGATATAATCAACTGAGTAGCTCAAAATGAAAACATTATCTTGTGTCCCTGGAAGAGTTTTAGAACATTTGAAAAAGGTATTAAGAAATAGGTAAAACTAACACAAGTCATACCTTTAGCCACAGCTTCTTTATACTTTTCTTTGGCAGTATTCACTTCTTTCATTACTTGCCTATAGCTAGATTTTAGTTTCTCCAGTTCTGTCGTCGTGACCTTTAAGAAGGCAAAAACATAAAATTTATTAAAAATATCTTCAACATTTTAAAACATCCCAATATTAGTGAAATGGAATTACAGGATTTGTTTCCCAAAATAAGGATGTTATCTTTTTCCATTGGCTTGAGTTTATCTTAAGAGGTTGTTATATGCTATAATAAAAGCAAAAAAAAAAATCCATAAATATATGACATTAAATAGAAGACAAACACGGATCCCCATTTGCTTTAGTTGAGGGCAATATACTGACAATTTTGTTTAGGAAATTCAGGTTATCATAAACACTGTTACATTTATAATAATACTTTACTACTGCATCTAACAAAAGCAGTTAGCACTAGTTTAATATTCTCTTCATAACCTGCCCAGGAATCTTTTAGTCATCAGTCCTTGATATTTTTATTATAATACTCAGATGTTCATTTGAAATAAATTAGGATTTCCCCCTCAACACCAACCATGTTCACAGAATCGTTGCAGTTGGAAGGGCTCTCTAGAGATCATCTAGTTCAACCCCCCTGCTCCAGCAGGGACACCTAGAGCACGGGGCACAGGGTTGCATCCAGGAGGGTTTTGAATATCTCCAGAGAAGGAGACTCCACAACCTCGCTGGGCAGCCTGTTCCAGGGCTCTGTCACCCTCACAGGAAAGAAGTTCTTCCTCATATGAAGACGGAACTTCCTGTGTTTTAATTTACACCCATGACCCCTTGTCCTGTCACTGGCCACCACCGAGAAGAGTTTGGCCCCATCCTCTTTACATTCTCCCTTCAGGTATTTGTACATGTTGATCAAATCTCCTCTCAATCTTCTCTTCTCTAGGCTAAACAGGCCTCATCTCACTTAGTCTTTCCTCATAAGAGAGATGCTCCAGTCCCTTAATCATCTTTGTCGCTCTACGCTGGACTCTCTCTAGAAGCTCCACATCCCTCTTGTACTGGGGAGCCCAGGACTGCACACAGTACTCCAGGTGCAGCCTCACCAGAGTTGAGTAGAGGGGGAGGATCCCCTCCCTCTGCCTGCTGGCAACACTGCTCCTGATGCAGGCCAGGATCCCATTGGCCTTCTTGGCCAGGAGGGCACATTCCTGCCTCATGGTTAACTTGTTGTCAACCAGGACTCCCAAATCCATCTCCATGTAGCTGCTTTCCAGCAGGTCAACTCCTAATCTGTACTGGTGCCTGGGGTTATTCCTCCCCAGGTGCAGGACCCTAGAATATCTTGCTGTAATATGTTTCCAGCAACCCCGGAAATGTCACTGGGATAAAGAAAAAACCTTGCTTTCCTTCTCTCGGTAGAGTTTTCACACTACCAACCTGGTTTTTGACAGTTGCAATCCATCTTTTTCCAGAGCACCTAAAAATGAAACTGTGATTCCTGTCTGCTTCACTGCCTAAACACAGCACTCTATCATCAGTACAACTGATATTATTTTTCATTCCACCACTAGCACCAGAAGTAACAGAAAAGGCCCTGAAGAGCTCCGTCCACAGACTTAATATTTATTTTACTCTCTGTTTATATTTAGATTATATATTTAAGAACACAGACCAGAATCCCAGCCCCACCAAAAACAGTCTGGACTGTCAAGAGCACTCAGTTTTCAAGGATGTCTAGAGTGGGGGATAAGGAAAAAAAAAGATACAGAATACAGAGTGTCACATGGAATCATTTTCTACTCGAATAAGAGCATTTTTCAATGCTATCTGTTTTGCATCTCTGTCTTGTCAGGTAGCAGGGGAAAGAAAATGTGGAGAAAATAACTAAAAATAAAACAACATCAATTAAAAAAAATAAATTGACATACCACAAATCACCACCTGGACATAACACAAACACACACAGAAGAACCAAGAAATACCATCCTCAATATATTTGTAAATATGCAAAAATAAAATAAGTGTATAAAGCAGAAATGAAAAAATACCTTGTACATCTCTGCTTCAATTTGTTGATGAACACCTACATAACTCTTCTTTGCTTGCTGCTTATCTTTGATCATCATTGTAAGTCTATGCAAAGGACCAGAATTAAGATCCTCTGAATGTGTCTTCATTATTTTGCTCAACTGTTCCGTTTGCTGTACCATGAGCAACCAAGACTGGAGAGAGAGAAAGAAAAAAAAAAGGCGGGGGAGACAGAGAACGACACACAAAAGCAGTTACTTATTCTGGTTTACAAATAACCAAATGCTGAACAGGAACTGGGGAAAATGCATTACTGCTTAAAATAACAATAAAATATTTTTACTTGAATACACTCAAGATCATCTAAGATAAAAATCTACCTACTACAGCAAAACCAGCCCTTGAACTTATTCACAAAAAAGTAACAGAGACAAAAATATAATATTGTATGGTGATATTTCAGCACTGTTCCTATACTCTTCAACACCCCTGAAATCTGTACCTCTTTTAGATGACAGTCTCAATACCTTTGACAATAACATCCCTGTGTTCTTTACACCCTTTCCCAATCATAATTCCTCTGTTCAAGATGACCTTTCTTTAAATTTATTTAAATAAATCTCAGTGATATGCATTTGAGTTTTTCTTGTTTAATAGAATACCATTCATCAGTTTCTCCATATTAACTGACAACATAAGTCTCCAGTCCACCAGTGTCAAGCACAAGTTACCAATAGGCTAAAAGATAAAAGGAATAACTCAGCTGTCACAGTAACTGCACATCTTTCTATATCTAATTTTATTAACTTCCCTGGCCATTCTGTCAGTCAGATTTTGGGACAGCAAAATATATTCTGTCTTTGAATCTTGCCTAAAGAATGAACTGAAATGCAAACAGAGATTAACGTCCAATTACATCCAACAGATATGGACCTGAAATTAAAGTTCAGATCAAATAAGAGTATCTGATACTCTTCATAACCCTGTCATACTTAGTTGATGGGAACATTAATAGATTCCTTAGAGATAACCCACTAACATACTGCTATGCTACATTTCAAAATTCAGAAAGGCTATTTGTCATTTAGGAAAGGCAGCTGATGCACTGATTTTCATAATCTTGCTCTTACTAAAAACAGAAATCCACCTCGAATCAAGCCTGAGATATCATTTGTTTTGTAGCTTTTGGGGTTTCTTATATCTCATTTTAAACATACATACACATTTCCATCACTACATGACTATGATAAAAGTCAGACTAGATTTTACAGAATGAAGTGAAAGACAGTTAATATGCATGAAACTATCTTTAACACTTCTTTTAGTTCACAGAAGTTCCATGGACTGGCACAGAGCTATCTTAGATTGCTTGAGTAGTAGTATTCTAAAACATCATGGCATAAAGCTATCTATCTGGCTACTTCTGAAAGATATTTTATCTCTCCGTTACAGAACCCTTTCCAGACATATTGCAAAGTTGTATATGAGAAAAACAACATTAAACACCTCTGTTAGAGAAGCAGGTCTTTCGGTTATAGACTAGTTCACAAGAGAGCTCCTAGAGGTAAAACGTAGGAGTTCTGCATTTTATCTTAGGCTGATTTATTATTAACAAGATAAATAGTGTTTCAATCAACCCCGAAAAGCAGAGCAAAAGAATTCTTCAAGAGAATGGATATTCTAAAGAAATACTTTGTTCACAATTCACCAAAATGAACTCAAATAAGTCATATACCTTCCAAAAAAAAAGACTTTCCTTTAAAAAAAAATTAAAAAGCACCTCCCCCATTCCTAGCATCTCCCTTTAGCATCTCCCTTTCTACACTTAAAAAAAATGCTAAATAGGATTGCAGTGGTTTGTATGATTATATTTTATCATTTTAAAATATCAAATGTTAAAAGTGAAAAACTATAATCAGGGAAAGTGTTCAAAAATTGAGATTTATACAAGATATAGAAAAGCAGCTGGGCAGGGACAGACAGCAGAAAATGCAAAGCATTTCCTTTCACAGAAAACAAACACCACTACAGTATATCAAAAGCAATGGAATAAAATATTGTTTCCTTTCACGGTATTTTTTTAGACCTACAAAACAGAAAACATTTATGGGAAGCACTTAAAATTCTGCTTTTCTGATGCTACTCGTTGCTGCCCTGTGCCTTCCAGCATGTTTACTGCCTATTCATTAAGAAAATAGGACACGTTTCGCCAAACACCATCTCTCTGTTCACTCTTGTAGTATATTTAAAATAATAGCATAGAAGATTAGAGATATACTCTTGTACTTCTTTTTTTAAAAATGTCTCATAGGTATAGCAGTGCAGTTTTCGATTCATACACACCGCCTCTTTAACTCAGTATAAATCTACTGAGCTGCTAAAACACCAGTCATATTCGTCCTCATAAGTTATGGCTAGAATTAAAGTATCAACTCCATAAGACCAAGAAAAAACAAAACAAAACAAAAAAACACATTGCTTTGTCCAAAACTTAACCTTACCAACTGCAATGCAGATCAGGATTTATGTCAGACTGAAGTGGCTTGTAACCACTGCTACAGCAAAAGGGCCAAGAATTGAATAAGCCATTAAAACAGAATCACTTTCTTTAGTCAGGAGTGAATCTAGCCAACAAGTTAAATAGGGAAGCTTACTTCATCATTATCGTTGTTGTACTTGCTCTAAATCCAATGATTAATAACTTGGCGGCAGGAGGACAGCCTTACCTTCATAAAAAGTCAAGATAGTTATTTTACATTGGATATAAAACTATGCTTAAATATCTTACAATTATGAGAAACACCCTGAATTCATGTTTTGTTTTCACAGCACATACTATGGTGTGAATAACAGTTGGAACGCTAGGCTCTGTCTTGATTTCTTGGCTTTTTTTTTTCCTGCCACAAATTCTATATAACACGAACAGTAGTCCCTATTTAAAAGAAAAGCTTGCTATATGTTTGGAAAACAAACAAACAAACAAAAAAAGCAGCTGGCTCAACCTAAAATACTGAAGTTCACAATTCAGAATTTTGGTTATTTTAGTGCTCTAAAGCAAGAATGGAGCTTCTGCCTATTTGCCTAAGGGGCTAGAAGGAGCTCATTTTAAACACTTCCAACAGTAAGTCTCAAGAAGCTAAATCAATAGCAATCCAAGAGACACACTATTTTTAGCTGGGCTGGTTACCATTTTCCTTTAAATAGACAGAATACAAGACAATCACTTGGCAAAGCATCCAGGAGAGAAATATTTATTGCAACACACTTCAGTAGCTCATTAAAAAAAAAAAAGTAACTGATAAAAAAACAGACAAGAAACCCAACCAAAAAAAAAAAAAAAAATGTGTGTGTGTGTATATATATATATATATGAACACTGATTTCTAAGGATATTCCAAATCAAAATATTTTCTTCTTACCTTGGACACATTGCTGATATAATCCAGGTGATAAGTGTTCTCTTTATCTACTTGATTACAAAGATTCTGCAAAGTAGAGGCATACTCTTTATCACTTTTTACTCGCATAACCATAAATTTCTTCACTCTTTCAAGCAGTCGCAGTTCCCAATCTTGCAGTTTTAATAAAGCATCATGAGAATACTTCAGGTTACTTCCAAATCCCATTTTTTAAGGCACTATATACCTTACAGATGACAAGATAGCCTCTTTACCACATCTGAAAGCAGAACAAAATTAATGAGAAACACGCAGAAAGAAAAACTCAGTGTGTTACAAAGAGCACCTATTAACATCTAAGCTCTGAAGTAACATAACCATAAGATCGAGCACAATCTGTACATATACCACAACCTGTACCTATACCACCTAGACATAAATTGGAAGAAAGGTCAATACACTGGTTAGAATAACAATCTAGGACTTGGAGAGGTTTTAAATCCTACATTTTGCTTTGTATTGAGAGCTTAATCACAGTTTGTGTCCTTAATTGCCCATCTGTAGCACAGTATTGTAAGAGTATCTCCCCAACTCAAAGTGGAATTATGAGGGAACACATGGAAGTCCCTTAAGACAGATATGAGACCCATCCACATATTTAATCAAATCAATAAATACAGGTAACAGTATTGCCAGACAAGAACCCCCAACTGCATCACTTCACTCCTAGTGACCCCAAATATTTGATCCCCATGTATGCTGTCCTGAAAAGCCATCAGCTCTGAGACACTGCAACTCCATCTGGAAAATCTATACCTGGAGTATGACTAGCTATTTTGTTCCTAACTACTAAAAATATATTGAATATACTGTGAAAATAACTCAAATGAGCTTCCCCAAGCAACCTTATGTTACTCCCCGTCAGATCATGACAGAATTCTTAATATCATACTCTTTTCCCCCAAGGCAGCACAGTCTCATTACACAAAATGGACGTTTGATAACAAGATAAGAAATATTCAATAAATATTTAAGCCTATCTGTATGAAATACTATAGCACAACCTCAGTTTAAAGACATGTCTGAACTTGTTTTAAAACACTTGCCTCTTATACCAATAAACCTGCAACCAAATCACAAAACAGATGAGCCTGTGAGTAATTTCCACAGACTTTCACAGGTTTTTTACAGTGTTCTGAACACTCATTTTCTGTGTGTTCATCAAAAACCTATTCCTATAGTGTGCGGAAAATCTCGCTGTCAAGAGCCGAATGTCCACAAAGGAGACAGAGGAGTCTTAAAACTTTATTCGAATAAAGGGAGAGTCTGCCAGGCATACCCCTGTGGGGTCTCTCAAATTACAGGAGGATGCAGCCTCCTTTTATCCTAATTTCCCAACCGAGGTAGGCCCTGTCCTTTTCCCCATTGGCCAAAGTACTCAGAAGTTACAGACTTGTTGGCCTGCCTAACATATGTTCCTCCTTGATATGTTCCCCGTCTCTGAGTGGTGATTTGTTGATAAGGAACTCTCTGCCCTTCTCCTGTTTTTCCCCCAGGTGTGGTCAGCTGCACCCAATCTCATACGCACAGCACGACCTCCCTGCCTGTACTCCCCAGTCCTGCTGGCTAAAGAATGTGGAGTAACTCCTTTATTTGTAAAGAGACAGGCTCCTTTTTCTGCTCAGACCCCAACCCCACCCCCCCTTTTTTTTTCCTTAATATTTGTCTTTACAAACCTCTGCCACCACCAATTTGATCCTTTTTTCTTGACTCACCTTTGATTTTGGAACTATTTGTAGAGGCATCATCCTCTGTCCCTTCATAGCCATTTCCACATCATTGGGTATGGCTACCACCATGCGCAGAGAAAGATAAACAACATTCTCTTAATCCAAGGTCCTCCTGGTAGCCAGGAAAACATGTCCCACTCCCATCCTTTCCACGTTTGAACTGGTGCATGGGCCAGTTTTCTTGTTTCTTTTGTTATTTGCTTTACCACTTTCCTGTTGTCATCTATTTGCAAGCAACAATTGGACTCAATTCAGCTTTCCACAAACTCCACCTTCCTTTGCTAACAAATAGTCTAAGACCATTTGGTGCTGGAAAATGGCATTTCTCATCTGTGTAGCTTGATCTGCTAAAAGATCGAGAGCCTGGGCTGTTTGATTGGTTATAATTTCTAGAACAGCCTCTAATCTAATTATCCTGTTCAAATTGTAAATTGGTTCTCTTGCTCCATAAATTGCTTCATGAGCATTCCAAGTTTCTGGTCCATAATACTGTATGATTCGCTCTGGTGGCCACTCATCCCTACCCCTTTTTTGGCCACTCCCTCCAGTTAGACTAGTATCAATTGATCGCTTTTTCCTTATTAGATCATCATACATTTTAATCCCTAAAGTGTTTCCCTGAACATGGGGCAAAAAAAACGAACAAGGGTCTAATGTGTCCTACATAACATATTCCTGTCCAATTTGCAGGTAATCTTCTGTACGCATACTGTCCACAAACCCAATAAGGACCCTTCAGGGCCCAAGTTCCATTTGGGAAGGGACCCTTCCAGGTACCTCCAGCTTTTGGGGCATCATAATATAAAGTATTTTCTCTCCTCAAAGGGCTCCCTACCACGATATATCCTGTACCTCTTCCGTATTTGCACCTCCATGCCCCTGCATCTACCTGCCAGGTACAATTGTACTCTGACTGGTTGATACTGGACCAGAAACTTTGGAAGCAGGTCCTAGTCCCATTTTGGTGTTCTAGGCCCACCGAAATCTCCATGCTACGTATTTCTTACTGATGCTGTTACCTGCTTGGCAGTCAAAGGACTTAAGTTCCAACCGCCGATCTGCAAACACCCTGACGCAGACAGCTCCCTGGAAATCGGAGCCGCCTTACTCCATAGCCTGTAGGGCACCCGAAGCCTGAAAAGGCGAGATGGGAAAACAAGAGAACTTCTGAAGGACCGCATGTTCAAGTTCCAGCTGCCCCAGCTAGAAAGAGAGGCACATTGGGAGTCCAACTCAAATGCCTCTATGTAAACACACGCAGGATGGGGAATAAACAAGGGGAAGTGGAGATGCGCATGAAATTGCAGGGCCATGATCTCGTTGCAATTACTGAGACATGGTGGGACAGCTCTCATGACTGCAATGTGGCCATGGATGGCTTTAGGCTTTTCAGGAAAGACAGGCCAGGAGGGTGAGGTGGCGGTGTTGCTCTTTATGTGAGAGAGCAACTGGAATGTGTGGAGCTCAGCATAGGGGAGGACGAAGCGTGGGCCAAGAGCCTGCGGGTGAGGATTAAAGGACAGGCCAACAAGGGCGACACGGTCATGGGAGTTTACTACAGGCCTCCTGACCGGGGAGAGGAAGTGGATGAGGTCTTTTACAGGCAGCTGCAAGAAGCCTCACGATCACAGGCCCTGATCCTTATGGGGGACTTCAACCACCCTGATGTCTGCTGGGATAATCACACAGCTAGGAGCAGACAGTCCAGGAGGTTCCTGTAGAACATTGCAGATAACTTCTCGATGCAGGTGGTAGATGAGCCAAAAAGGGGAGGGGCGCTGCTAGACCCGATACTAACAAACAGAGATGGTCTAGCGGGAAATGTGAAGGTTGGGGGCAGTCTTGGCTGCAGTGGCCACGAGATGATGGAATTCACGATCCTGCGAGGACGAAGTTGGGCAAGAAGTTGGATTGCAACCCTGGACTTTGAGAGAGCTAACTTTGACCTCTTCAGGGAGCTCCTTGGAGGAATCCCCTGGGCCAGAGTCCTAGAAGGAAAGGGGATCCAGGAGAGTTGGCTACTATTCAAGCACCACTTCCTCCAAGCTCAGGATTGGTGCATTCCTACAAGAAAGAAGTCGAGCAAGGCGGGCAGCAGACCTGCATGGATGGGCAAGGAGCTATTGAGTAAACTTAATGAGAAAAAGAGCACGTACGTAATGTGGAAGAAGGGCCAGGCCGCATGGGAAGAATATAGGAACATTGTCAGAGAATG